GCCGCAAAAGATGTTTTCTATGACAGTTGTTGATAAAATCTTTATTTCTTGTTTTTGCGATTTTTGAAATTGTTGATTAGTGGAAAGAGTTTTTATTAATATGTATGCAATAGCAATTAATTCTATTTATTTATTTAAAAATAATACATAATTTTGTAAATATTGATATCTATTATAGAGCCTTTAATAAGAGTATAATAACTTAGTAAAGTGGTGAAGTTGTTGTACTTCCAAGTAATTGAGTACAAGTTTAATTCCCACTGTAGATAAAAATTGAATTTTAAAAAACAGATTCAGTAACTATTGTCATGGCCAGAAAAACTCGAGACCCTGTAACTGTAGTCATACTAATTCATCAGAACTGGAAGATCTTAGTGTATTTGTGTGATATATGAGTTATACAAATAGGTCTTCAGATCACAGAAAGCTACATGGCTGATACAGCAATAGAGTACTTGCTTGGCAAGTCCCGAATAAAGAAGTAGTACAGATCTTTGACGGTACTATATAAAGGATTATCATCAGAAGAACTAGCAAAACTAAATAAGACCAAAGTGTTTGGCAAGATACTCTACCAACCAGGCTGCTAGAAGAGTAACCAGAAAAAAAAACCCAACTGTGGGGACCAGAAGCAGATTATAGCCCTTCTAAGCCATTTTGATTGGTAGTTTGAGATAGTCTGAAATACTATAGATGGTTTGTAATATGTGTATCAGAGTTTGGGTGAACTCTATAAGAGCAGAAGTATGTTGTGTAGCAGTGATCAGGCTATAGTACTCAATATAGAAACTGGGATACAAGTGTGGACCTTGGTCTATATATATCAACTAAAGACTAGATCAGCCAGATTGTGGGTACAGAAGGCTTTAGCAGGTTTATCTCAAGGATAAAGGGTTCTTGGGGCAAAAGGTCTGTCTTAAAGTCCTAAATCGGTATTCGAAACTAAGAAGACCACATTAGATTCTCACTCAGTTAACAGTATAATCACATAGGTGCAGAGGGTTTAAATAAATAACCCTCTAGTCAGGTTATAGGTATGACATCTAATGTAGAACTTAGTAATAAGCAGACTATTTAAAATAGGCAACCAAAAGTTGTACATATGGCTAGTTATATTCTCCAAATATATATATAATATGGAAATCATACTGTAAAAATTATAACTATAATCGAATAAAGATACATAACCAAGAGGTTATCTTAACATCAAAAAAAAATATGTATAGCCTGTATTTAAAACAGTAATGCGTAGTCTCCAGTACTAGTGTTACTGAAGACTATGCATTACTGTTTTCAGATATTAAATAATTGATATTAAAAATTTCCTAATTTAGTAACCCTATAATTCTTCTCTTAGATGGTGAAATTTGATCAACTGCGGCTTATCACACCAACCAATTAAATTTCATTCTGGCATTGCATCAACCAATAGAAACTTTAGAAAACACATTACAATGACAAAAATTCACCATTAATTAGATGGTGATTTTTAAAAATCACCAAACTGTTCAACAACCACACCAAATGTATCCAAAAAAGGAAATAAAAAAATCATTCTCAAAAAAACATTTTATGCGGATTAATTTTCGTGCTTCTAAACATGTTTTACATTTCTAAGTAAACTTGAAGAGACACTTTTGTTCTGTTAGGCTGTAAATTTTCAGAACGATTAGATCGATATTCATCGAGATATAACGATTTCTTTTTTCGTTTCGTTTCTTTCTTTGTAGATCCTTATCGTACAGATTCACGATGATCGTATTTAGCTCATACTTAAAAATTTTATTAGTGAAATGTACAAAGTTGTTCTAACAAACTATAAGTTTTTTTGTTAGATGAACAACTTTTATTATTGACTCAAAGTCGATTCACATAATAAAATTTATCGTAAAACACGATTTTTAGTTTGACGGCTTTTTCTAACTTTTTGTATAAACCATTTTTATTAAATTTGACCCTAAACATATTGTACGATGATAGTAAATTTAGTTTGGCAGCCTTTTACAAGAACCATTTTTATTAAATTTGACCTACAATTTTTTTTTTTTACAACTTAAAAACATCCCACAGGTAAGAAAACAACGTTTTCTAGTATTACCTGTGGGATACAGAAGCTACAGTTGCTACTGATTTGATTGGCTAATATTTTCATCTATGTTTCAAAAAAAAATAATTTTTTTAATAATGCTTCGGTAAAGCATTTCTTATTAAATTACTAGTAAAAAAATGCTTCGGTTCAAAACACATTTTGATTGGTTGAAAAAAGTGCTTCGGTAAATTTGATTGGTTCAATTAAAAAAGAATCACATGAAAAATGCTTCGGTTCGTTGAATAATTTGATTGGTTGAAAAAAGTGCTTCGGTTCGTTGAGCACTTTGATTGGTTAATAATTTTGCTTCGGCTAAAAAAAGAAATTAAAAATAGATTCTATAATCTTGTTATCTTATTGGTTATCTATTTTGTTCTATTGAAACATGATTCCAAAATACCAAGAATTTTTTTAGAGCCAGAATGAAATTACTATATTTGTTTATATTAAAATAGAAGATTCTTAAATGCCAAGAATTTTAATACCAGATAATTTGGATTTGTCATTCGAAATATTGTTGGTGTTTTAAAACCGGTATTCATTTTTTTTTTTTAATAAATTGTATCTTTTTTTTTTTCTTGCTTACATATTTTATCAAATTTCATAATAAAAAAAAATAAACTAAATGTCTTAACTTTATTGTACAAATTCAGGACGAATTCCTAATAATCAACAAGAAATTTTCGATACTTTATTTGAAAATGTGAGTACAAAGTAGTATTTCACTGAAGATATATCAATTATTTGATATATGAATAAGCGACTGTCAATGATAATATTTTCAATGTTTAGTCAGTAACGAGTATGAAATTATTCACTTATGTTCGTTTAAATCTAACTTTTTTTTTTATTTATTCATTCAGGAAGAAATTCATTTCGAAGTTTTTAGAAACTTTAATTCAAAACGAAAAAAAGAATTCAAAGAAGAAATTGATTCTATTGATTACAGAAGATGTGAAATGAAGGTCTTCTAAACTACAAAGAAAGTTTACAAGAAGTTGAAGGGTCATTCAGATATTGATAAGAATGATTCTGACTCGCAGTTTTTGTTCTCTGAATATTATCATGTCTTTGGTAAATCAAATCCTTTAAGCCAATATGATCTCTCTTGTATTGGCCGTATCTTGAAACCAAAGAAAAAAATTCAGTTAAAGCATGTTAAAAAGGTTGTTGAAGATGATCTTGAAGAAGGTGTCCAGGTGAAAAATGGTATTAGATATGTTGCAGGAAATGCGGGAATCACTAGAGCAGCATTTAAATATTGTAAATGTAAATGTATTTTTATTTTAGAAGTTCTTAAAACAACTGATGATGTAATAGTTCTGTATAAACCAAAATTCAATAAA